TTCCAGTTTACACAGTTCAAAAGCTTTCTTCAAGATCCGCATAATCATTATCTCTGATAGCTGTCTGAGATCTTTCCTGTATATCACATCCCTCATAAAAAATCAGATCTCTGTCACCATCTCCGATGTCTGCTCTACTGAAAATGTCTTCAGGAGAGGTATCAGAAGCTTCAGTCTGGCTTAAAATGATGCTCCAGCTGCGTTCTGAGATTTCTTCTGATGTCTTCTTTCTTTCTCTCCTTTGAAGAAGAATTGAGGGACTCTTCTCCCCCAACTGAAAAGGATGGAGTTGGGACTCATGGGTAGCTTGGATTTCACTTACAATGGTCATGCAGGTTGGTTGAACTCTATCTGGGGACTCTGCTGAATAAACTGTTACAGGCATTGTCTTTTGATATATCTTGTCTACATCTGTGAAATAAAAAGAATGTTTATCTTTGTATGACAGTCTATGGCCCCAATAAAATATTCTGAAAGCTATTGATATCAATCTGAATAATTAAGGGACTATCTAGATTTGTATCCTGAGCTATTCTGGATCTACTACCAAATCTAAATGATCTGATACATTTTTTTAACCTAAAATTTCTAATTTTCTAATCTAATCTAAAAAAAAAGAATAATTAAGACAATTAAGAACATTTAAAGAATATGATTTACTCTACATGCAGATATCATATCATTTCATATAGCTTTCCCTTTGTTCTCATTTAGAAATGTCAGTTTAACCAAGACTCAGAACGTAAGACATAATCACAGAATTTAGACAGCAATCTAAGGCTCCATTCAGTGTTACATTGTGGGAATGTGCACATTCCTGTGCGTGTTTCCACAAATGGCTGGCACCGCACACTACTTGGATGTTGCAATATGGTGCCATTCATTCTGAATAGCACCCCAACATACCTTGATGATAGAAGTGTGCCACACCTCAGTGTACTTCAAGACAACGCTATATGGGGGGGGGGGGGGGGGATTCAATACAGCTTCTGCACCACTTTTCTGGAGTTAATCTCTCTCTTGTTAATGTATTGCACCCATTCATGAAGCATTTGCAACACTTTTGGTTCTGACAGCAACTCCGAATTCAGGTAGTGCATCAAATTTAGGTAGTTCTAGAATGCGCCACTTTTACATTATGTCACATTGAAGGCACCACTTTTACATTGTGTCACATTGAATGCGCTAAATGTAAAAGTGGAGCTAATTAAGGCCAACTTTCTTTTGGAGTACACAGAAAAAAACTAGCTCTGACATATTTTGCAAAAGCGTCTCACATACATTCTAACAGTGGCGTGGCATGAGCCAAATTCAAGTACAGGTTCTACACAGGTACATGAATTTGGCACTCCAACAGTAACCAGAAACCGGCGCTCAAATCTCTCTTGCTGCACTCAAAATGGAACAGTGCACTTGCCCTTGATAGATTGTTGAATCTTGATACTAGCAGAAAAAAACAAAACAGGGCACACTCTCCTCCTGCATTAACGCAAAAACCAAAAATGTATTAAAAAGATGCAAAAACATACTCACAAGCCATAAAGGTCATAAAAACAGAGACAAGAAGTCAAAGGTGCCAATCATGGACAGCATGCGTCCTTGGATAAAGTTCTAACGTGTTTCGGGAGTCAAACTCCCTTCCTCAAAGTAATTGATCTATTGCTCTAAGGAAGGGAGTTCGACTCCCGAAACGCGTTAAAATTTTATCCGAGGATGCATGCTATCCACAATTGGCACCTTTGACTTCTTGTCTCTGTTTTTATGACCTTTCATGGCTTGTGAGTATGTTTTTGCATCTTTTTAATACATTTTTGGTTTTTGCGTTAATGCACGAGGAGAGTGAGCCGTTTTGTTTTTTTCTACATGAATTTGGCACATTTTAGAAATCACAAGAGACACTTTTGCAAAATATGCCTGCACCAGTCTTTATGAATTCCAGGGTATGTGTGTTGCATTGTGGGGCGCCATCACAAAAAAGGTGCAGGTCCGATTTCTGGACCGCTGAGCTGCGTGAGAGCCCATTAATGCACTGCTTAATATAGTAATGTGTGAACCTAGCCTAGTGTTTAGAAACAACAGCCATTAATGTTCTTACCATTAAGCAGTTCAATGTTGCCACCTGGAGGAGAAATTGGGTTATTCAGAATCCTTTCTGTGAATCCAGCATCTTTCCTAGTGTCTTTGCTATTTAGAAGTGGATTCAGATGTGCATCCTCTACTTTTGCCTGTGTACCTCCTATTTGGTTAATATCTTCTGCTTCCTCACAATGATTTATGAAAGCTGCATGGTCTGCAAACATTATGCTTGATTTCTCTGGCCTTAATAAATTCTCTCCAGTTGATGGACTTTGACATCCGTGGATTAAGTCATCATTGTTCACACTGCTATTATGTTCAGGATCAATGGAGTCCAACTCCAGGACATCACCAGCAGATGTGCACAATGTTCTTGAAGGATCCTGTTCCTGAGTATCATATCGAATCACATTTGTACTGTCGGACTGAGCTGCTGTTCTTGGGAAATAGTCTGTCCATATGTTTACTTGCTGCCTATATGGCTGACCATTTTCATACTCTTTACAGAGGTCTGGGCTATCCGAAGCCTGGGAACTGTTCTCACAACTATTTAACACATCAGGGCTGTCTTGTAAAGATACGGTACTGCAATTTTTTTCTGTCATGTTCCAAAGGTCTGGATCAACACAAAAAAATGGAGAAGATTGCAGATTGTGGTCATCTAAAATATCAGGCATAAAGTCTGAGTGCAAAGAACTTGCCGAGTGTAATCTGTCACAATGCTCAAAACTGCTTACTATACTATTGTGTTCAAGCTCACCAACAGACAACGAGTCATCATCCTGTAAACTACAGATTGTATTGCATTTTTCTGTAGTGTCAGTGATGTTTATTGGGTTTGTTTTAGTCTTTAAATCATTATAACTTGGCAAAGTGTATAAATGACGTTGCTCTTTTACAATATGAGTTTGGTTGTTTATATGAATATTTGGAAAATCATTTTGAACTTGCATCACGAAATCTGTTTCTTTAATGTGTTGGACAGCCTGTATATCTGTTTCTCCTCTATTTAATTTAGGGTTGCAGTTATCTTCACAGTCAGACGGAGATGTATAGCTAACATTTGCATCCTTTGTCCAGATATTCAGTGAATTTTCTGTAGATGAAGAATCCTCAAAGCAATGATAAGGTGAGGGATAATCTCCACTAAATGATGCCAAGGTGACTATATCTGCACTCTTATAAAGTCTTGTAGGCCAATGGCATTGTTCAGTTTGTGACAGTGCATTGCTTTGTGAAGCAAAGGAAGAATGTTCTAATATTTCATTTTTTTCCTGTTCAGAATTCTTGTAGGCAGGTAATAATGTTGCATTCCTGTCATTAAGATCTACAGCAGAGTTATCCAGTAGATTGTTATGATATTGAATAGATTCAGTTACATCAAGACTTGCATTGGCCTGTTCTGCTTTGTACTCCACAGAAGAAATGTTGTGCACACAACCTAGTTGTTCTTCTAATGTTTGGTCTTCTATGCCTGGAGTAGTTGAATTTGACTCATTGTTCTCAAATAATGTTGATCTTGTAGACTCCAAATCCAATAGGTGCTTCTCAAAACAGTTTTTGGTATCTTTCTCCAATGAACCAGAATAATCTAGAACTTCGTTTGATTCAGGAGTAGAAGTTGAAGACTCAGACTCTTCACATACCTGAGTATTCCAAATATCTAGATTCATTGGAACTTTGTTAATCGTGTTCAATGGGATCTTCTGTGCATTAACATTATCACTTGTATCTGAATTAGATTTCAAGAAGCTGTAGAGTTGCATATTATTTTTTGAAATTGGAAGATATCTATTTTTACTTGCACACATTGTGTCATCATATGTAGTATTACAGCCATCGGTTCCTGGCTCCGGGCTTGTTGAACTGGAAAGTGAAGAGCCACTTAGATTGTTTTCATTATAACAAGCATTCAGTTTTAGTTCTTCAGATGTATTGATATTAACTACCTCTGGACTTAAATCTGAATCAGTTTCAGCAGATTCCGAGATGCTGTGAGGACTATTTATTATATCATCTTGGCAAACAGTGTCTTCAACCGTAAGGCTTGAAGGGTTGAAATGATTTTCTTCAATTTCAATCTTCCTACTAACTGATTCCTTTTCCGTATATAAAAGTTTTTCAGAAATTGAGGGGTTTTGTAGCTTAGAAGTCTTTGGACTCAGTAAAAATGAGTTCTGAGTTAAATTCTCAGGACTCTTTTTATTAGTCTGAAATCTAGTGTCAGTGACAGGTGACAAATGAATAAATGAATCTGCATTTGTGTTTAAGGTTTCATGGACTTCTTTTATACTTGAAATAGAATTATTAAGCAGAATAACATTTGGTAAACAACTTAAGCTAGAATTTTCCAATTCATCTGGAGTGTTTAAAGAAGAAGATTCTGTGTCATACTGCAAATCCCAAGCATCTTCATTTTCACAATGAATGTTAACGTCAAAGTCTTCATATTCTTGTGTGTGAAACATGAGCTGATGGTTGCCTGTGGTTTCATTCTGTGTTTCAGATACGTTTAATACCTTCTGTGGCTTTGCAGAGTCAAGGTCATCAAGAATAACAATGTCTGGACTGTCATGTTTATGAACTTGTGGATGAGGCTCATGCTTTCTTAATAGAGTATTATCTGATAAATTATTTGGCGATGAATTTTTTGAGGAACATGGCAACAAACAGTTCTGAAATTCACTCTGAATAATATCAAAAGGACTTGAACAATTACTTGCAGCAGAAAACTGAAATATATTATCGTTGCTTGCTTTGGGTAAACATTCCAACATGTCATCAATCTCATTAGACAAATGCATTCTATTTAGTACTGTGTTGTTACTGTTATTGTATTCAGAGCTAATGTCTTGCAATAAGCACACTTTCTGATTGTTCATTATAAGGTTTTCTTGCATTTTGACAACAGATTCAATCTTTTTCTCAGTTGTTATGTAAAAGCCAAGGGATTCTCTATCTTCAGCCACATCAATACTTGCAGAATTTGGAGCACTTGTATTATTTAATATGGGTTCATCAGTGTAAGCAGTAGGTTCGAAATCTTGAGTTTTCTCAGATGCATTTTGCTCTTGCCATAGGTTTTCTGTTTCATGCAAATTATCATCACAAAGAGGTGATGAAATTGAATCAGATGTGGAGTAGTTGGTGTCTGGAGGAGAAACCATGCAATCCTTACTTGTAACAGGAGATGTGAAATCAATACATCTATAAGACAAAAAGGGATCTTCCCAGGCAATCTGGTCATCTATAGCACTTTGCTCTTGATTACTGCCATATAAATCCCAGCCACAAAGATTTCTTTGTATGTGTTTTAAATCAGTAGATGCTTCTATATCTGATTCAAAGGTATTGCATTTTGAGCGAATTCCTAAATTAGGAATTCCATTTGCCTTTTTGGTATTTTGATTTTTTTCCAGCATGTCTTGACCTATTTTAGTTTCCATGGCATCAGGGGTATTTTCAGAAGAATGGTCACTCTCTATATTACCTACTTCATTAACTTCTGTGAAATATTTTCTATGTTTTTTTCCATGCAATGAGTTCCAAGAATTATCTGATTCATTGGTACACTGTACAAATTTGCCTGAGAAATCACACCATGGATCTGATCCTCCTTGATATGGTTTGTTTGTTTTCCATAAATCAGAATAAGGTCTGTTTTCTTGCATAGTGTTTTTATCATGATTGTCTCTGTTATTTTGCCTGTAACAGGAGGGCCCCATCAGTTGAAATGAATCAACTAAATTTCTACTTTCACTATTGTCCTTTGGCTTTTGGTCTTTCCAAGAGTCTGGGCTTGGAAATACGGACTCCTGTTCACTTGAGCTCCATGTGTCATTCAACAAGGCTTCAGGGTCCTCTCCATTCCTCCAGTATCCATACTTAACCTGAGATATGTCTGAAGATCCTAATTTGTTTATACTTTCTATCACGTCATCTGAGAAAAAGGTTGGTGTTCCATTATCCAGAGGAGAACTCTCAACTAAACTGTTCATTGGTGTTGGGGGAACTTTAACTTCTGCATGACCAAGGACCTCAGAAGATAAAGTGGCATCATATTCAGCAAGATCACTAATACTTGGATTTTTATCACATAAATCCTCATGGTTCTCAGGACTATGCATGAAGTTGTCATCAAATTCTACTAAACTTATATTTTCTACTTCCACTAATGAAACATTGTCAACTTTTGTTTGCAATAATGATGTTGAACAGCTAGCCATATTTTCTCTGTAGAACCGCAATTCATTATGCTCTTTCTGAGCAACAGCTTGCTGTCCTTCTGAGGAATCACTTTGAAAGAAATAATCATCAGCCATTGAATAGTCAGCAGAATGTGAAGAAGATTCGGAATGGATATTTGGAGCTAGATCAAAGTTAAAAAGATCAGTGTTATCACTGTTATTTCTGGATGAAGGTGTTTCTTCCTCAATTATGACACATTCTGGGATGGGACCATAAGAATCAATACCTGCAGCAAAATTATGATGAGAACCAGCAGCTTCAGCAACTGGACTGTCATCACTAAGAAAAACAGAGCTCTCTTTAGATGAACGGCTGCTTCTTATTGTAGCAAGGCCACTGTCTGGGCTTACAAGATCTATGTTGACATCCACCTGGGCTTGTGCAGCTCCATTTGCCTCCTGTTGATTATCAGGAAAATTAACAGGGTTTTGAGGAGGGTCTACATCAGAGCCATATAATTCCATAATACCAGATGAACCCTGAGACAGAGGAGCACTTCCCGCAACAGCCTCTGTAGAGGAAGTACGGCTATTGGGAACCATGCCTATACGTCTTCTGTTGATGGCATCTTTGAGGATTGCTGCAATTTGATCACAGGTTACCAATGGGCTTTCTTGATGGTAAACAAAAAACTGATCCCACCCATTTTCTGATGGCTGGAGATCAAGAAAGGGATTCTGACATTCTTCCAATTCACAGCAAACCTGTAAAATACAAATACATTTAGTTAACCTAAAGTGTGCTTTTTTTTCTTTAATTCATATATAGTAATATCTTAAAATATAAATGGTCAAATGCAAACAAACACTATTTGAATAGTGTAACTATTGATAGTGTAACCTAGAACGTAGCTGATAACTGCTGTGGAACTTCTTTCATTGTTGCTACTTCTTCTATAGTGTGACCAGGGTTAAAGTGAATATTCATTCATGCAGAATTCTGGGTCTGATTCCTGAAAGTGATTGGATGATTCAACAAAGCAAAGAGAAGAGGGTCTGCAGACTGCAGAGGATAGGACTGGATGAAAGCAAGCAGGTGTGTGGGGAGAAGACAGAGCTGCTGCTGGTTGTGTTACAGCTGATACAATTGGGAGAGAGACCTCAGAGAAGACTCTCATCGTGCAGGACCATGCCTGAGAGACCAGGAACTTTCTCCCTAGGAGTGTGAGAAGTGTGATATGAAAGCCTGGTGATCCAGAAGAGGGGTCCTGTGTCTGCTAAGAGACCACCACTGCACAAATGAATCTCTTGTCTGCTATGAACTGTTGTGCCTTCTTCAAGGGCCCCAACTTTCCAGTCAACTTTTTTTTCTTTCTTTCATCAATCACTGATCATTCTGTTAAAACCTGGACTGTTATAATAAACTAGAAAAGCTACAATATCTGGGGAAATTGTGTGAAGTGTTCTAGCCTCCACCAGTAGTCTACAACTGGAGTGGGCGGAGTAACTGGGTGGAGTGGCTTGAGTAAATATTAAAAATGAAGGCACAATCACAGTTTAGAAATTGCCCTTCAAATTTGAGGTGGCTAGAGTGCAGTTTCAATGAATGTCAATGGGCGGCGTGAGTTGCAAACAAATGGTCATATTGTGAAAACTATCAGGATTCCTCCATTCATTCCTACGGGACCAATTTCACCACAAAAACACCAATATTTTGTGAACTATTCGGCGAAACGTTCCACAAAGTAATAGCACACCAATTGGGAACAATCCGCACGTTTCGGTATATTTCTGTCTTACTGTATATTACTTAGTGTAAAAACTGTGGGAGGAGTTAGGGTGGTAAATTTGGCTATAATAATAAGAATATGTATGTGAGATAACAGTAAGTGGTCTTGCCATGCATGCCCTCCTCTCTCCCCCCCCCCCTTTCTCTCCCCCTCCTCTCTCTCTCTCTCCCTACCTACCCCCTCCTCTCTCTCCCCCTCCTCTCTCTCTCTCCCCTCCTTATCTCCGCCCCCTCTCTCTTTACATTGTACACAGATCTGACCCAACAAGGTGTCCTGCATTTACCATATATTTCGCTCCATAAGACACACTTGGGGGGAAATGTCTGTGTGTCTTATGGAGCGGCCGGCCCAGTATTCCCGCCGCCGTTGTAGGTCCGCAGTCTGTGGTCATCTCATGTACTATCTCTGCAGTCTCTGGTCATCTCCTGTACTGTGTCCGCAGTCTCTGGTCATCTCCTGTAGTATGTCCACAGTCTCTGGTCATCCCCTGTACTATGTCCGCAGTCTCTGGTCATCTCCTGTACTGTGTCCGCAGTCTCTGGTCATCTCCTGTACTGTGTCCGCAGTCTCTGGTCATCTCCTGTACTGTGTCCGCAGTCTCTGGTCATCTCCTGTACTGTGTCCGCAGTCTCTGGTCATCTCATGTACTATGTCCGCAGTCTCTGGTCATCTCCTGTACTGTGTCCGCAGTCTCTGGTCATCTCCTGTATTGTGTCCGCAGTCTCTGGTCATCTCCTGTATTGTGTCCGCAGTCTCTGGTCATCTCCTGTACTATGTCTGCAGTCTCTGGTCATCTCATGTACTATGTCCGCAGTCTCTGGTCATCTCCTGAACTGTGTCCGCATTTGTTCATAGTTTTTTTTTTTTTAAACTATAGTCTGGCCCTCCAACGGTCTGAGGGACAGTGAACTGGCCCCCTGTTTGAGGACCCCTACTCTAGAGGTTCATAACACTGGCTTGAGTGTGTATTGGGTCATCCATCTAGGCATAGTTCTTCCTTAACTGAGTCAGCCAAGGTTTAACTTTTTACAATGTATCTGTGTTGTATACCATGATTCAAGTGTAAAGAAAAATCTCAAAATGTATAAGTCATTCTGTTTATACAGTACAGATCAGTACACCCTCTATTGGTAACACCTGGTTATTTCCATTTTCCTTTCACACCTATTTGTCTTGTTATGATCCTACTATGCACATACATTTTCAAAAATCTAAAATAAAGAAATGTAAAAAAAATAATACAAAGTATGATTTTAGAATAACTTACTTGACTACATAGTTCAGGATTGTCTGAATAGACTGCAATTTGTTGCCTTGACGACTGTTCTCCAGATGTGTAGCTGGCCAAAAGGATAAGTATATCAATTTCATATTTATCAAGAAATACTTTCAGATCACCAATGATGTTCCTGTAGCTCATTAAGTCCTGGTAACAATGAAAACAGAAGATAAGATATTAAATGTATGTACATAATGTACTCACACAGGGCGATATCTAGCCCCAGGAAAGCCAGGTAGCTAGGGTGATGCACTGATTCTACCACTTATTTCTGCCTTTGTGGCACCGTTTGGTTGAGCATTTAAACATTACTGCTATACAGGAGTCCCTGCAGATACACACCACCCATGGCTGCACATGGACCCCCATAGCATAATGCCAGCTGCCTGGAAAGCTGCCTATTAGAGTCTCAGAATGTAGAAACCTTCTCATGCTCCTTTCTTCTGCTCTCCATGTCATGTGAGAGAAGAAGCATGGGAATACTGTCACATTCATTTATTTATGGGCAGTAGATGCCTATTTTAAAGGAGAAGAACAGCCAAAGCTCATTTGGCTGTACTTCTTCTGTGGATCACAGGAATGTAGTTCGTCCTGCACTCCTGTGACCTGTTTTCAGCTTTAGCCTGCTGTTGGCTGACATCACAGAGCTGGTCCAGGCTGGGGAAACACCACGACCATATGGTTGGGATCCATCCAGGAGCCTAGACCGGTACTTGGCTCAGCTTCTCACTGCTCCCACATCCCAGAGCTCCAGTGAGGGGGGGGGGGGGGGGGGGGTAGAGCAGACAGTGGTGACTGTAGTCACAAACTTAATATAGTCACTGAAACCTGCTCACAGCGGTGGGGAGAACTGAACAATCAGCTGTGTCTGATCACTCAGTTCCCAGTCTTAGATTGGTTCAATGCTGCATCCATCTAGGTATGTTTAAAAAAAAAGGATAATAATTCCATACTTCTCTTTGATATGCAATAAGGGCTCCACAAGTAGAGCAAATTAACCGGTTATATTAAAAATGCTTAAACCCAAACTCAGGTAACTGCCTGCTCTTACCACACCAGTGCTCTCGAGTATTCTCCAGTAATTTGCTCCCCTGCTTATACATGCACATCTAAAACGCTAACACTAAAGTAAGTGGGTCATAGTAGGTATAGGACACTCTATTGTATACAGTATATAGTGGTAAAGGGGACCATGGACTGACTACAGTAAGCAAAATTGAGATCATTACTTGTTATATAAACCAAATCATCTTGCTGAATTTATTTATTGATTTTCCTAATTTTGCAAATTGCATTTATCTATATTAGTCAGCATCTTCTTTCTGCCACGACCAGGTAGCGTTTTCAACTGTGCCTTTGCCTTGAAATTTGCGATTGATGCTTCCTAAGGTGTCTCTTGGTATGTTTAAAATCTTTGCAATCCTTCTTATAGCCATTGCCCTTCCTGTGAGAGAAATCACCTCTTCTCTTGTCATTTCCTTAGGTAAATGTTGTTTTATTAGCAATATTACTATATACAGGGCTTTTTTTCCTCAGAGAATTGGTGCAGGGACTCAACCACGACCCCTCCCCCCTTAACCCCCTCCCCCCAGCGAGGGAAAAAAGTAGAGAATGCAGTAGTCAGAAGTGCATAATGCACATAATGCAGGGGTAGATATTGCAGAGTGTGCAGGGATCAGGAGTATGTAACACAGAGAGTGTAGGGGTCAGGAGTAAGTGATGCAGAGAGTGCAGGTGCCCTGTGCAAGGCTGCGGTTACCCATACAGGGATGCACTGGTATTCTGTACATTCCCATGTAGGCATGTGGGCAGTCCCATTGATGTCTGCACCGAAACAGCCACTGTGTCCCAGTATGACATCCATATGGGTGTGGGTGCATGTCCGTGAACTCACTCTGGGTGCTTTGGGGCTGTACACCCACACCAATATCACATTGAGAACAGTGGCTGTGTCTGTGCAGCCCCTTTGTTCCAATAGATAGGTACAGCGCTGAGTAAACCCTTTGGTGCTATATAAACACTGTATTATATTAATAATAGATAACAATGGGACTGCTGCCAAGGGCATTCATGGAACACCTGCACATGCACGTGACGGTGTTGGTAAAACATTGCCCATTACAGGGTACAGATGTAATTGCCCTGTGCAAATCTCCCAGTCCACTTCCTCTGTAGAAACCATTCTCTCCCAGCCTCCTGAAAAATAAAGTTGTTTACCCATCTAATTCTTTCTTCTAGCTCTAGAAGAAACATCTGAGCCACAAGCACAAGTCACACTTAAAAGTCTTACTGTACATAAGGGTGTATCTTGCTGCCCAGCTCTTCTACTTGGTTGCATTCATTATTTTAAGAAGGTAGCTGAGAAGACTAGAGTGGAGAAGAGCGGAGTGTGCCTGCAGAGTGTATAGACTGTTCCTGCTTGCTGCCCTTTGGTGGGCAGAACTTGAGCAGGAGGAGGGTGATATCAGACCACTCCGTCCCTCCTGCTCCCACCTGCCGAAGCAGACCACACTAGGCGGTTAAAAGAAACTCTAAACATGCCAGCAGCACCTGGATTAAGGTACCACACCTCCCCCCCCCCCCCCCCCCACCTACACCCCCGCCAGCCCCCTCCTCTGCTGTTATAGGGATACGTAGGAGATGGAGCTGTGTCCACTGCCAAGAGAGCAGCACTATCACTTGGAGACATGGGAACCGGGCTCCTGTGTTTACATGTGACAGCAGTGAGTGGCAAGCACAGAGCCAGCGCTGGAGGTGGTGGAACACCGTTTCACCACGTTCCAGCAGAAAAGAAGCCTGACTATATGACAGTATTAGTACATTTTGTTCATTTAATATGTTGAAGAATGATGTTTAATCTGCTATTTTTTCTACTTATATTCTTGGTTTCTCCCTTCCATAAGGTAACACTGAACTCTCGATTAAAAAACCTCCTGGATTAAGGTACCACCCCCTACCTTCCCGCACCTACGCCACTGCCCGCCCTCCTGCTGTTATGGGGATATGCAGGACAGGGAGGGTGCTGTGTGCGCCAATAGGACATCAGCGCTGTCATTTGAACATATGGAAACCAGGCCCCCATTTTTACAAGTGACAATAGTGAGCAGCAAGCACAGAGGTGGCGCCAGAGGTGGCAGAATGCTCTTCTGCCATGTTCAAGCAGAATAAAAGCCGACTATATGATAGTATTTTTAGTATACTTTGTTCATTTTGTATGTTGAAGAAAGGTATTTAATCTGCTTATATTATATCTACTTATATATCTACTTTTGCCTTCCTTGGTTCCTCTCTTCCTTAAAGTGACACTGAACTCTGGTTTAAAAAACAGCTAGAATAGTATGTACACCGCTCAAAAAAATTAAAGGAACGCTTTTTAATCAGAGTATAGCATCAAGTCAATTAAACTCCTGGGATATTGATCTGGTCAGTTAAGTAGCAGAGGGGGTTGTTAATCAGGTTCAGCTGCTTTTGTCTTAATGAAATTAACAACAGGTGCACTAGATGGGCAAAAATGAGACAACCCCCAAAACAGGAATGGTTTTACAGGTGGAGGACACTGACATTTTTTCCCCTACTCATATTTTCAGACTGTTTTTCACTAGTTTTGCATTTGGCTAGGGACAGTGTCACTACTGGTAGATACCTGGACCCTACAGAGGTTGCACAGGCAGTCCAACTCCTCCAACATGGCAAATCAATACGTGCCATTGCCAAAAGGTATGCTGTGTCTCCCAGCACAGTCTCAAGAGCATGGAGGAGATTCCAGGAGACAGTCAGTCACTCTATGAGAGCTGGACAGGGCCGTAGAAGGTCCTTAACCCATCAGCAGGACCGGTATCTACTCCTTTGTGCAAGGAGGAAGGGACGAGCACTGCCAGAGCCCTACAAAATGACCTCCAGCAGGCCACTGGTCTGAATGTCTCTGACCAAACAATCATAAAAAGACTTCATGAATGTGGATTGAGGGCCCAACATCCTCTAGTGGGCCCTGTGTTCACTGCCCAGCACCATACAGCTCAATTGGCATTTGCTATTGAACACCAGAATTGGCAGGTCCACCACTGGCGCCCTGTGCTTTTCACAGATGAGAGCAAGTTCACCTGAGCACATGTGACAGATGTGAAAGGGTCTGGAGGAGCCATGGAGAATGTTATGCTGCCTGTAACATTGTTCAGTATGATTGTTTTGGTGGTAGGTCAGTGATGGTCTGGGGAGGAATATCCATGGAGGGACGCACATACCTCTACAGGCTAGACAATGGCACCCTGACTGCCATTAGGTATCGAGATGAAATCCTTGGACCCATTGTCAGACCCTACACTGGTGCAGTGGGTCCTGGGTTCCTCTTGGTTCATGACAATGCCCGGTCTCATATGGTGAGAGTATGCAGGCAGTTCCTGGAAGATGAAGGAATTGATACCATTGAATGGCCCATATGCTCGCATGACTTAAATCTAATAGAACACCTCTGGGACATCATGTTTCGGTCCATCCAACACCACCAGGTTGCACCTCAGACTGTCCAGGAGCTCCATGATGCCCTGGTCCAGATCTGGGAGGAAATACCCCAGGGACCATCCATCGTTTCATTAGGAGCATGTCCCGATGTTATCAGGTATGAATACAAGCATGTGGGGGCCATACAAACTACTGAGTACCATTCTGAGTTGCAGCAATTAAATTTCTGCAAAATGGACTAGCATGCTGCATAATTTTTTTCACTAAGATTTTTCGGGGTGTATTTGAATTCAGTCCTCTGTAGGTTGATCATTTGCACCAAATGATGGGGCATCCTTACATTCCTAACACATTACCCAGTCCATAACAGTATAGATATCCAGCATGATATTTTTCCCCATTGAGATCTAATCTGTTTTCAAAGTGTTCCTTTAATTTTTTGGAGCTGTGTATTTAAAGAATCACAGCATACACAATCCTGAAATGTCACAACATGTACTATTTGCAATTCAAATGAATACAGTCAGAGACACTAGAAGATCAAGGCAGATACAGGGGATATACAAATTCTAAAAACCCCTGTTAAAATGTCAAGTTTCTGTGATGTAAAAAAA